AATATTATGTTGTCACTAAATCACAGGTTGATTAGAGACAATAAAATGGTTGTCACCAATTATGTATATTGTTTGTGACGAAAACAAATATCTTAATTAAATCTAAATTTTTATAACTAAACATATAATATTCCACTAAAAACTTTAATTTGTCTCTATTGTAACAACGTATTTTGAGACGAAATTATTTTGTACACAAAAAATAATAATTTTAAGACAAAAATAATCTGTCACAAATCAGATACATCATTAGTGACAAAATAATATGTCACTGACAACTTTAATTTCGTAACTAACTATACTCAATAAATGGTGCCAATTCGTGTTTGGTGGAAAATTATAGTGGACATAGCTTTGCTACAAATTTTATTTTTCGTCATTAAGTTATTTATCTTATATATTTAAGCACGAAAATTAATTTTGTCACTAAAAGTAAACTATTAGTGATGAATTTCACATCGTAGCTAATAATTTCGTAACTATATATCATATTTATTGTAAGCAAACATATACTAGTTAATTAGTTAACATACTTATAGTTTATCTTAATTACAATTCTCGACCTACTTTCATCTATAATTACGCAACTCAACTTTTTAGTTTTATGTAATTAGCATGTTTATATAATTCGAAATTTGTATAATATATTTTTTATAACATAATTTTGTATAATATAGTTTGTATAACTCTTACACTTCGTATGCTTATAATTGTATAAATTCGTTATCTTGGGTTTATATAAAAACAATTGAATAATACAAGTGTAACCGCAAATTACAAATTCACTCGTGAATTATACAAACACATGAATTATACAAGCGAGACAACTTAACTTTAGCTATAACCCATAAATATACAAACTATAATTATGCGTGATTAAGTTAATCATAGTGGTTATCATTTCTCTTTTTTACATTATTGTCCATAGATATTATAATATATAACTTTATAAGGACATTTTTGTAAATCAACTTTTAACTTAGGGGATTTTCACTTTTAATAATATTAATTTCTGGGAACGTGCATTGCATTAGAAATAAAAATTAAATTGATAAATATATTGAATATCGTCATGATCAATTCAAATGTGGTCAGAAGTCATGTGAATCTTGCTTTGATTCAAATATGAATACGCACAAAAACAAATAAATAAAAAGAATTGATTGCATAACAATTATAACCATAAAGAGAAAATACATTAAGTCACCAATAAAATTGTCTCAAATTTTCAAAACGACATTTTAAATTTACAACCATCCTATTACCCCACTAAAGAATTTTAACAAACATATATCATTTTTCGTCCACTTGGCATAGAGAGTGGTGTGCACTCTCTCAAAGAGAGTGAACAACCTAAAATAACTAAATTAATTTAATTTTTACAAGTATTTTATTATAAAATATATTTTGTTATAAAACTATAGAATAAGAAGAAGAAACTAGAGAGAAAAGAAGAGAAGACTTGTCATTTCTCTTAATGAATGAATTTGTAATGAAGAGGAGCACTCTATTTATAGGAGAAATCTAACTTGGTCCCCAAGTAGGAGGACTCTTTAATCATATCCTAAAAAGGACTCAACATGATAGACATTCACTATAATACAAATACTTTATAACACTCCCCCTGAATGTCTAATTCATAGATGATGTGCCTCATCAAAAACCTCACTAAAAAAAACTTTAAGAAAAGAAAAACTCTAGTAAAGGAAAGAGTACACATATCTATTAGTATGCATCTAGGCTGCCTCATTAAAAACCTTACAAGGAAAACCCAGTGGGACACAACCTCGTAAGGGAAAAAAAGTACAGCGCGTATTAACTCCCCCTAATGAGAACATTAATCTGGAGACTTGAATCTTCGCATTCCAAGCTTGTGCACCATCTTCTTGAAAGTTGTAGTTGATAGAGACTTGGTGAATAGATCAGAC